ATGTTGCCCAGGCTGGTCTGAAACTCCTAGCTTCAAGCGATCCTCCCTCCTCAGCTTCCCAGACTACTGGGATTATAGGCATGAGCCAACGCACCTGGCCATGACTGCCTTTTCTCTGTGTGAACACACACGGAATAGTTTGGATTTCTAGTCACGTAAAGTGGCAGGTTTCAGGTTCTGTCTCTGTCCAACCATCTGTAGTGTGGATCATTTGGGTGATTATGGGGAAGACTTCAGGGGACCACCTCAGCCTCCAGAGGAAGCCACTCCATCTTGCTGGGTTAGAAGCAACAGGCAGAAAGGTCATTCAGTCTACATGTGGCGCTGTGACCTCAAGATGAGCCCTCTGATGTACTAGTAAGCAGCAGTGCTGAGGAAGGCCTGGGCACGGCTGGCTGGGGTTTGGCGTTGGGAGAGCAGTTGAGTTACATTCTCTGCTTTGGAGGGACTAATACCAAATGCTCCTTGCCCTCCCTCCCTCTCCCCTCCCCTCCCTCCCCCTCCTTTCTCCCCCTCCTCTCCTCTCTCTTCTCCTCCCCTTCCCTTTTCTTCTCTCTCTCTCTCTTTTAGAGATGGAGTCTTACTCTGTGGCCCAGGCTGCAGTGCAGTGGTGTGATCTCAGCTCACTGCAACCTCTGCCTCCTGGGTTCAAGTGATTCTCCTGCCTCAGCCTCCCAACTAGCTGGGACTACAGACACACATCCCCACACCTGGCTAATTTTTGTCTTTTTTTGTTTTTTTCAGAGGGAGGCAGGGGTGAGGGTGGGAGGCTAATTTTTGTATGCTTTGTAAAAACAGGGTATCGCTATGTTGCCCAGGCTGGTCTCGAACTTGTGAGTTCAAGCAATCCGCCCACCTCAGCCTCCCAAAGCACTGGGATTACAGGCGTGAGCCACTGCGCCCGGCCTCAGGTGGCCCTTTTTCTATTGGCACAGCTGTGGGCCTCCCCCATGTAAGCTTCCAGCTTGCTTAACTGTGTTTGCAGCTCCATTTCTTCAGGCTGCTTTTTGTTAGAAAAGAAATGACTTGGGAGCCTGCCTTTTGTTAAAAGCGAAGCTCTGCCGAGGACTCTCTTACCCTCACTGTCTGCCTAAATAATTTCTTTCCACTTCCTGTATCATAGGGGATGAGAGTGTATGGGGTAAGAAGAGAAGGCCCAGCTCAACAAAGAGCTGTGGGGGCCGAGGTGTGAGCCCCCAGAAATGGAAGTTTCTGTCCCAGTTAGCCAGCAGCAGTTCGTTAAAGCTTCCTGGATATCCCCGGTCCTGGTTAGAACGTCCTGTGTGTGTGACAATTGTTCCAGTAATGTCTCATTCACCCAACTGTTGAGGGAGGGATTAGCACCCTAGCGTTATAGGAGGGACAGCAGAACATGTGACACACAACGCTGGATAGGAGAGATTGACAGTTGTTTATTAGTTGCATACGTTCACAGCCCAGAGGAGGAGGTACCTGTCATATTCAGGGGTCCCAGTGATTCCAGTTAACCAATTTCCTCAGGGGAGACATGTCCCCTTCAGTCAATTGCAATCAAACATGAGTCTTGGCGGGGCGAGGTAGCTCAGGCCTGTAATCCCGGCCCTTTGGGAGGCCAAGATGGGTGGATCACCTCAGGTGAGGAGTTCGAGACCAGCCTGACCAATGTGATGAAACCCTGTTTCTACTAAAAAAAAAACAAAAATTAGGGGCTGGGCACGGTGGCTCACGCCTGTAATCCCAGCACTTTGGGAGGCCGAGGCGGGCGGATCACGAGGTCAAGAGATTGAGACCATTCTGGCCAACGCGGTGAAACCCCGTCTCTACCAAAAATACAAAAATTAGCTGGGCGTGGTGGTGCGTACCTGTAATCCCAGCTACTCGGGAGGCTGAGGCAGGAGAATTGCTTGAACCCAGGAGGCGGAGGTTGCAGTGAGCTAAGGTCGCACCACTGCACTCCAGCCTGGCGCCTGGTGATGGAGTGAGACTCTGTCTCAAAAAAAAAAAAAAAAAAAAAAAAAAAGGCCTTACACACCATCTGAAAGAGTTTCAATTTTGGGGCTGGGTGCGGTGGCTCACGCCTGTAAGCCCAGCACTTTGAGAGGAGGAGGTGGGCAGATCACCTGAGATCAGGAGTTTGAGGCCAGCCTGGCCAAGATAGTGGAACCCCATCTGTACTAAAAATATAAAAACAAATAGCCAGGAGTGGTGGCACATGCCTGTAGTCCCAGCTACTCGGGAGGCTGAGGCAGGAGATTCACGTGAACCCGGGAGGTGGAAGTTGCTGTGAGCCGAGATCACACCACTGCACTCCAGCAGGGGTGACAAAGCAAGACTCCATCTTGGAAAAAAAAAGAGTTTCAAGTTTTGGAGCATTTCACATTTTGGATCTTCAGATTAGGGATGTTCAACTTGTAATTATATATACAGCTAGTGCTCAACTTACGACCATGATTGGTTCTGACAGACCGGTCGTAACACGATTTGGTCGTAAGTTGAGTAGGCTATATGCACGCGGAGATGGTAGTGCTGCCGGAAGCTGGTCCGCACTGTCGTACGCCCAGCTGGGCAACGTTTGCGCTGCCAGACGCGGAGCAGTTGTGGCTAGCGATTGTGGTCGTAAAGTCGAATGGTCGTAAGTTGCATAGGTGGTAAGTCGATCAATACCTGTACATGTTAATTATAACAATGTGGTACACCATGTATACCATATACGTAATAAAGTACATAAACTAGGATTATACACTATATACTAAATATATTTATATCTATGTATACTGATGCACCCCAGCACACATACACACACAATAGCAGTCATTCCTTGGTAAAGGTGGGTGTTGGTTCCAGGACCCCCCCACAGTACACATCAAAATCCACACATACTCAAGTCTCGCCATCATCCCTGTGGAATCCACTTAAAAGAAAAGTCAGGGCCGGGCACGGTGGCTCACGCTTGTAATCCCAGCACTTTGGGAGGCCAACATGGGTGGATGGCTTGAGTTCATGAGTTCAAGACCAGCCTGAGCAACACGGTGAAACCCAGTCTCTACAAAAAAGTACTAAAGTCTGGGTGCGGTGGCTCACGCCTCTAATCCCAGCACTTTTGGAGGCTGAGGCGGGTGGATCATGAGGTCAGGAGTTTGAGACCAGCCTGGCCGACATAGTGAACCCTCATCTCTACTA